AGGGGGGGATTGCTCCCCTTTCAGGTAAAGAGACAAATGGATCGAAAAGCCTGTATGGACGCGAGAATGGACATAACTCCATGCATGCCTTGTGCTCTTTATGAAAACATGTACAGTCCGAAGAAGGAAAGATGGGGCATTACCCCAAGGTAGGCTGTACAGTTGCTCGCTCTCAAGTACTCAGGCGTCACCCTTCAGGACGAGGTTGTGTGCTTCCTTCTTGGCAGTGGTGACCGTTCGCGAAGTCTCGGTAGGGGCTGTCGTACCCTAGCTGGTCCAGTGCTGCTCTGTGCGGGGCCCCATCCCCGGTGATCATCTTTGTGCCAGGTCCCTTCAGCACGTTTGCGCTTGCGAAGTGCTCTGTAGTTGGTCTTCATACCTTGGCGGTAAGTCTGCCACATCTCCTCGTCGCTCATACGTCTGTCGAGTCCAAAAGGCAGGTTCCCATCGGAGTCTCTGGTGCGCAACAGTTCATGTAGGCGGGACCGTTGCTGAGCTGTCAGTCGGGGTGGCCCCCCCGTAGGTTCGGGGACCGTGCTGAGGCCTTCGTTGTTTTCGGGTAAGTCCCCCGGCTCGTCCCGTTCTTCTCCTTCAGCGGCTTGCTCGTCAGAGGCGGAACTGAAACCATCACTATCAGGGCCAGCAGGACTTGCAGTGGCATCGGGGTGTATCCCCTCCCAAGAGTGTCGCGGCAGGTCGGCCGCACCATTGTCACACGGGGAGTCTTCCCCAATTTCCGGCCCGACTTTCTCGCCTTTCTCGCATGCACTTTGCTGTGGCGCCTCGTCAGGTTGTTCATGTTCGTCCTGATCGAATACATCTGTTGAGGGGTGTAGTCCTTCGGTGAACCCCTGGCCTAAAACCCAGCCCGGTGGCAGAGGTTGAAGAGTTGCTCGTACTTCATGTTCAGGTAGTTCACGCATAGTTCTTGGGGATGGCCCCGTCGTGTAGTCGGTGGAGGTAATGTTCAAAGTTGGGGTTTCCCCCTTGGAGGCGGGGTGTATGCTCACTGCTTGTGCGTCACGGTCAAGTGGTTCCTGTGCAGGCATCGGGGATGACCCCGCTGTGGGAGGTAAGCCTGCATCATAGTCAGGGTCACGGTTGTGCAGGATGGCCTCACCTGTACCAGTCGTTGCGGTTGCCCCGAAGACCAGTGGGGATGTCGAGGCTTCGAAGTTGTCACGGGGCCCCTTGTTCTCGGACGTGTTGTCGTCGGGGCGTCGATCTTCTCCGGGGGTGTCCCCATGGTAGTGCTGTACGTCGTCTTGGTCACGCGGGGGTCTGTGGAGGTCCTGGGCGTAGTCGTCGGCGCGGCTGCAGGAATAGCTCTTGCCGCTCCTGCCTCAATCGGCGAAAGGCCTCTGATGATTCCTGAGGTAGCGGAGCGAGGCAGCCTCGGGAGGACCCACTCTGGTTCTGGATTGGCAGACTTGACCTCATCAGCGGGCTTAGCGTCGGCAGGCTCGGGCGGAGAGGTAGTCCCCCTGGAAGACATAGAAGTCGAGCGCACAGGAGGGGGTGTCAGTTCCGCTGGCGCACTGGCAAAATAGCGAACCGGCGTTCTTGGCTTGCGTTGTTCATCTTGGAGGGTGTTTTCTCCCTTGTAGGTGTGGATGCCGAAGAGCTCTTGGAGGGGGTCGGCGATGAGGGCGTCAGAGATGTCCTCCTCGTCATAGTCGAATTTAGGGGGCTTCCCCTGTGCGGCCTCTCTCTCTCTCTCTCTCTCTCTCTCTCTCTACAGGGGCAGAGGAAGGCAGCAGCGTCCAGGCCACCCCCTCTGCGCGCGAACGCGCACCCGCAGTTCATTGGAGGAAGGTTCCTCACAAGGGTCTTCCCCTTGGAGGCTCGGCTAGACAAGCAGCCAGAGGCGCGATCCCCCATCGAAGGAAAGTAAAACAAGGACATTCAGTGGCAGCCGATAGCACTGGCTTGAAACAGCCGGGAAAGCACGTTTTTCCTTGAGGCTCCCGTCTTTTCGACATCACCCTCAACTGACATGCAGGGCCCTCTTAGCATGACATATTCTCACAGAAGCTCGCTCTCTCTCTCTCTCTCTCTCTCTCGCTCAACACAATTTGATCACTGCATCCCGGGCTCCAATGTCCAGGAAAAGCCTGGTCCAATCTTGCCAGTTCTGCCCTCGGCTTAAGCGGTTGGGCCCAAGGCATCAGAGCAATGCCCGAGCTGAGCGGTTCGGTGGCTTTGGGTTTCGGGTTTAGGGCTTCCGCTCTCCTTGCTTTCGCAGGCCGCAGGTCTTCCCCTCTTGGCCTAGTCGCAGGTCCACCGAGTCGTCCACACCGCAGAAGCCAACTGTGTGGAGCTTCATGGCTGGGCTTGGCATGGACTTTATGTCTTTGCAGTCTCCATAGACCGTCAGGGTTTCTGTGTTGAGTGAATTGAGTGCGGTGCTAAGTTCGCCGAGGACGGCACTGGGCAGCATGCTTCTTTGCTTTTGAACCGATTGTCGAGGGCCGACACAGAAGAACATGTGCCCCAGTCACATCTCAGCACTTCCCGCAGAGCGACGATACTGGTACTAAAAATGACAATGGCAATAATTATGATGATGATCATCATCACCACCATCATCATCATCCTCCTGATCATGCGAAGAATAGCTGTAGACGCGTACTAACAATACAAGCCCATGCGCAGAACGAGATCCGACGGCGGGCTATTTGGAGGCATCTTTTGGAGTTACAGGCCGGCAGACCCCCTTGCGCCAAGAGACGGCGCTTTAAAGCCGCCTTGGAATGGCATTTCAGGGGCGTGAGAGCTGAGAGATCGAATCTCACTCTGTGAGATGCACTGCAACGAGGACTCTTCTGCGATTTGTGGATCCTGCACACAATCAGCGCAAGGATCGCACCGATCGAACACTGTTCGACGCGTGAAACGGCAGACTTCCAAGCAATTGCCAGGAAAGTCGTTGTGTTAAGTTGGAGCGAACTGATCTGCACAGTCCGGGTGCCTGACTCGTCATCAAATGAAAAGAGATGGTCTGCTGCAGTCAGAGCTCCAACCCTGGAATGACCCATATGCAATGATAAGAGCCTTGAATCAGGGCGCACTTGAGTACCGACCCAGCAAAAAGGATTGCACCATACCCTTGCCTGTTAACAAACATGATTGCTGCACCTCATCACACGTTGTCAAGAACTTGAGGTGCCCCTAAGTGGTGAGAAACAACCGGGAAGTCCGAAATCCATGCCCACATGGACGTGCACTTGCCATTCCTGGATCCCAGGGCTGTGCGTCAAAGATTCTGGTCTCCCCGGCCATGGCGTTCTGGCATGCACTGATGCAAAATCTGCGAGGTTTTGCGAAAAGTACTGAAAGGAATGGATTGGTCCTACGACAAGAGACCGTGCGAGGACAGAGGCTGTACTGTTCCGCGCACGGCAGGGCCACAGAAATGCCAGCACTCGCATACACTGTCTTCGTTCAAAGGCTGCAAAGGTTGATGTTGACACGGTGTGCGAAGAGTTGTTAAACCTCTGGGCACATTCACGGGACTCACGCGACTGGAGCCCCGTTCAGTGCTTCGGCTGATGTGCTGCTCTCTTCTAGAATCTTAGAAAATCGGGCCCCTCTCGGAAGATGGACTCTTCCGGTTCTTGGGTTGTTCCTCCCAATAGCAGGTCGCTGGCCGTGCGAGCTTTCGCCGACCTAAGCGAAGACCCAAACCCAGACGAACCTCGCATCGTTGCACATAACAAGCCGTCATAGGAGCTGCAGCTGCAATCATAAGATCTCTGACTGCCGGCGGAAGACACACGAAGCACGTGGTGCTGTCAATGGCCGTTGCCAGCCAAATACTGGAAGCCAGTTGAAAAGCCTTTCTTGAGGCGGACCTGAGCCAGTCTCTCACTGCCAGAAGCAGCCAGACTACAACCGCCCAATGCTAATAGCCTCACTGTTGTGAGCACCCACTCAACCATGGCGACACCCACGCTGATGCCCGTGCCCATGTCGACTGGCCCTCTTCCTCTCCCTCCTCCTCCTGGACCGCCTCCTCCACCGCCTCCTCCTCCTCCGGCTCCTGCTCCTTCACCTGCTCCAGCCTACTGCTACCTACTGCTGCTGCGCCTGGTTGCTGCTACTGTAGGACGAGCTCCTCTTCCTCACCAGCACCACCACCACCACCACCACCACGGCGACGAGGTACTACTGCACTACTTCTGCAAGCAGATGAGCTGTCATGATAATAATGATAGCAAGTACTGCTAGTGCTGGCGACTGGGACTGCTGCTCCAGACTAAGATTGCCTCTCAATTGCAGCTAGGCTGCCGATATCGACTTACGTCGCGTTTGCTCTCCAGGGTCTGGAAGGGCTGCCTCATCGTGCCTGTCTATCATCCTGGGCCGCTGAAGCAGTCGAGCTTGCCCAGTCTTATGCAAACACAGCACTCTCCGCAACTTCTTGAAGGTCGCGTCGCTTCGATGCGATGATCTGGATCCAATCCCGGAACCCTGACCTCCCCAACTGTGTTCCGGAAACAGTAAGGCATGACGCACTCTGGGGTGTAATCACGCTACTTGAAGGCGTGTTGTCTGCATCCAACCCAAGCAGTTCTCAGGAGAAGAAGAGAGGTAGGACAGCGAAAGATGCCGCGCCTGCCACACCCTGATGACAAACTAAATCTAAATCAGCATCCTTTTCACTTAAGCCCCTGGTCCCAGAGAGTCACACGTGAAAGCAGTTCGAAGGGCTTCCAACTGCTAGGAGCTGCTAGGAGCCGACTGCGTGTATTCGGGGATGGATGGGGAGAGTTTCCCAGGTTCCCAAACATGTCGTGTACTAGCAATGTGAAAAATCATAGTCGTATGAATAAGAATAACAACAAGAATAGTCATCATCATGATCATCATGATCATCATCGTCATCAGAAGCACAATCATAGTAGGACGGATCCCCTACCCTTTGACGGCCTGTGTGGAGTCGTCCAACAGAACGACACCCTGACAAAAGGAAAATTCATAATGTCCGGCGCAGGCACCACATAGGCAGAAAGCTTCTGATGGTGTCAGAGACTTGATCACCTGGCAGGGACGTGCCAACCCCGGACAGTATCTGACCGGCCAGACTTCGCACAGCGTGGTGCAATCACAACGCTGCTTCGGGAAGGGCCTTGGATGACGTCGGTAAGCATGCCCTCCTGCTCTTCCAAGCTCTCAAGCCAGACCATGAAGAGCCTCTTCAGGCAAAAAGCAAAGGGAAGCATCTTTTCCAAGAATTCGCGCATTTCTGGTCTTTTCGTAGAAAACCTTATGATCTCAGAATGTAGAGCTCCCTGTCATGCGCAACAGGACTTGTTACAGCCTTCAGTGTCACCATCTAAAACCGCCACGTGCCTGCAATATTGAGCTACGATGCTGGCGACCGGTCTCACCTCGGCTTCCCATCAAAGCTCCGAAAACTTGCCTCCTTCACCGTGGGAGTCTGACCGGGCCACAAACTCGGCATCCAAGAGTAGACAGCACAGAACCCCCTGAAAAGACATCTTGCAGTGAAGCAGCCACATTCAGAATGTTCTCGAACGCCTTTCAGCTGCTCGTAAAGCACACACCCACTGCTCTGAAAGCCGAACGAGAGACCGTCTTACCAACGTCTTGCCTGCGGGTCTATGAGGAGCACTTCACAGTCAGTGTAGGCTTTGGCTTCGCCAACATGATACCTGAGCTTTTGGTACTGTGGAGTTTCATGATCAGAGCCGAAGCACGTCGGCTTATCCAGAGCCACCATGGTCATTGTGAGGTCCCAGCCAGTTTTCTGTCCACAGCGAAGGCTCCGCAAGCCAGTCCTCGCCCTTGTCCACAAACTCCTCATGTTTACAGTGCTCTATTGGCGTCCGTGCTTGGTTTTTAGCTCTGCGCGTGCTGTGTTCCGCCTTGATCTCGCCACTCTCAAGAGCCCGGACATACTCCAGCCGACCGAAGGCCTTTCGAAAAGCCGGCAGGCATATTCTCAAAAAGTTATCAAATCAGCAAATCTCCCAGTCACGAAAGGCCCGGGGCCCGGGCCACGAAGTACATGCCTCAACGTCAACACAGACGCAGGATTTGTTGGTACACTGTCCTGAACCCAACTTAACCCGTCTCGCAAGCTAGCCACAGGTTGCATGCTGCTCCGGCAGGAAAAGAGTGTCGCCCTGCGCCATCTCCATATGAGAGACCGACTCCTGAGGAGCCCATGAAACTCAAGCAAATCAGGCAGCAGAGTGTCTGCATGTCTTCCACAGACATAGGAATGCTCTCCTTGGCCAGGCGGTTCATAGTGATGAACGAGAACCTCGGCAGAAGAACCCCCTTCAGGTCCCACATTGTTCAGTGTGGGGAATCCAAGCCAACGCAGTTCCAAAAAGCTACATGTCATCTAAAGACTTGTTAGCACTGGTAGCCATTTTAAGTACTATTGTTCTACTACCACTACTACTACTACTACTACTACTACTACTAGCCACCCCCCCCTCCTACCAACCACCTGGCGCCTCAATCCACCACCATCATCGACCATCATCGACCATCATCATCCATCATCATCCTTCATCATGCATCATCAGCATCATCATCACCATCATCAACCATCATCATATAAGACAGTCCGCCATCACGAAAGTACTGTAAATACCGAGTAAAACTGCTCTTGTGGAGATATTGTTCGGACCCCCCTCACCCCCCCCAACCCTCCCCCACCCCCTACCCCCCACCCCCCCCCAAATCCGAAG